GCTGCTGCATTGTAAATTTTGGTCAATGACATGAGACAAAGTATATGTGAACTGCTGTATGAAAAGTGAATTTACTCTGTAAATCTTTACCCAAACCTAATAAAAAAAAAAACAAAGAATTAAGAAGTAACCACTGAGAAAGCTAAAGGCAGTGCTCATTAAAGCTGTTGCTTCTGAGAGTAGAAGCAGGAATTAGGGTAGAAACTTGCTGCTCTGTTACCACACTGTTATTTCCTTCTGATACTGAATCAGGTGCACACAGTAGTTTGATTAAATGCCAAACTCATTATGCCCCACAAGAAATGAAATCATTTCATCCGTCAATATGGTGCTAACAACAAAAAGGAAACAATGTCCAGTAGGGGTACGGTATATAAATTGGCACAACCTTTCTACAGGGTAATGTGACCCAGCAGGAAGTTCCACCTTAAGGAGCCCTGGTAGCAGCTCAAGTGGTCAGCTGCTAACCCAAAGGCCTGAGATCTGAAGTCACCTAGCAGCTCCTAGGGAGAAAGACCTGGTGACTGCTTCCATAAAGATGCGGCCAAGATGAGCTGAAAGTGACTCAGCTGCACTGAATAGCAAGTCCACCTTGAAGAAATAATCAGAAATATGTTTAAGGATGTTCATCTCAAGTGTTATTTCTAAAAGAGTAATTATTTATAAAACTATAGGATTTCCAACAATCTTGCATATATTACATGTATTAAAATTTGGTAATGCCATATCCAAATGATAAACCGTTGTATAGCCACTGACAATTATGTTTACCAAGTTTTTTTTAAATACCAGACTCTGTATACAGAATGATCACAGCTTTGTTTAGGGGAAAAGAAGAAAGTGAACAAAAAATGTTTAAAGCAGGTAGGATTATGAAGGATTTTTCATTAAAAAAATATTTGTCTATATTTCTCAAATTTTCTACAAGTAAGATATACTTACAATCAGAAATGCTATAATAGGAGGGTGAATCAATAGATCCAGCAGGAAGCTTTGCAAAGGTATTTTCCAGTGTCTATAAATGCCCTGGAGGATAGAGGTCATACCTGAGCCAGCAGTATTCTCCACCTGGGAGCGTTGTCACATGCCAGGTAAGGCAGGGTGGTGATCTCTCCTGCCCAGAAACAAACCACCCCTCCCAACCTCAACCCCCAACTTAAAGTAAACCCACAGCAGCCTTCATTAGTATTTACTCTGTTTTTTTTTGTGGGGGGATTTGGAGGCACTCTGCTTAAGTACTTTTAGCTTCAGGATAGTTTTAAGAATAAAAGGAGATAAAACGTGTAAATATTACGATGCTTGATTTCCAGAAGAGGAAAGAAAAGTGTACAGAGGTTAAGTCACTTGCTCATGGTCACAGTCAGTGGCAGAGCTGTAATTCAAACCCAGGTCTACCTGATGCCTAGGGTGGGGATCCCAACTTTTTGAGCTTCATGGCTGAGCTGTAGCCAATAAAACCTATCACTAAATCCCTAAAGCAACTTCGCCTGCCATCTCTTAACTCTTTGAAGGCCAGATGCAAAAACTGTCCTAGAAGGTTCAATGTACAATTTTGTAAAAAAGAATTAATCAAGAAAACTGATTAACGAAGTATGCCACAGTCAAAGAAAGGAGAAGGATCATCTTCCTCCTCAGAAACTGTTTTAAAGGGCACACTAATTGGTACCACACAGAGATGAACCATCTACCACCTAATCACCGTTTAGGAAGGAAAAGTCCAGGACTCTG